AAAGTGATTATTGATTAATATATAGTTACTAGTATTATAATATGGCCGTATAGAAACTGTGGTCTTCAATTTAAGCAAAAGTAAGAAAACTCATCAGTAGGTTCAAAGGCTTATGTAGAAAGGGATATTTTATAGAGAAAATGTTGTTTGATACGGAGTATATTAACTATTAATTTCACTTCAGTAATACTTTTGAGAAAAATGTTAAAAAATATAATACTTCTTGTAGGTAGCTGGGGTAATAAAAAAAAGGCTCAAAAAATTGAGGAGACTGCAATCCACATCTAGATATGAACGGAGATTGCTTGCAATGCCACAACAATAAAGGCCATATGGCCATGACAACTGCCACCAAGTAACGTCTGCAGATATACTCGTGCCACTTTTCACAAATGGAGGTTGCCCGGAAAAAGTCAACCAGCGATGCAGCTAGGGCTCCAAGAAATAACATCCCTATACACTGCATATATATACATACATGTACATGCGTGCAATTATATTCAATTGGCATACTAGTAAATATATACTCATTAATTTCTCTTAATAATATCTAACCTAAAAGACACAACTCAGTTGAGACAAAAATATGACGTAAAATAGTTAATGAAGAGAAGTACCCGATCAAAAAAGAAGGATCACCAACACATGGATATGGTAGGGTAGCCTTCCCCCAAACACCACAAACTTGAGGTCAAGGCAAGTATGTATAAGACACCACGTAACTTGAATACATTGTTGAACTAATAGGATGCTGGTCAAATAATTAACACAGTGTCAAAACGTAGAAACCAAATGCATTTAAGCGTTCAAAATAGCAATATCAAATATGCAGTATAAGGAGGAGCTAGCTGAACCAGATGGGAGTAATCAGATAAAATCCAGTAACTAAACTTATAATACCCAGAGAAATTGCTGCAAAAGTGCCTTGGAGTATCCTCATCGTTAGCCCGCTGATCTTTTCGGGGCCAACAAACGTTTGCCTCATTTTTTGGATGATATAAATAAATCCCCAGAGTGGTTTATCTCACTGTTTTGGCGGCCGAAATCTAATGTGGCAACTGGAATTAAAGTGGGCGACGCCTGAATCAAAGGTGCCAAAGGTGGCATTGGTTCATCTCACTGTTTTGGCTCTTTATATTAGCACATCAGCGTGAAGGCCAGTTGTGTAAATATAAAGATCCATCTGATCCAGTGGATTCTATAGAGATAAACCAGTGCCGCCTCCGATTCTGGCATCACCCACTTTAGTTCCAGTTGCCACCTCTGATTCCGGCCTGCAAAACAGTGAGATAAACCACTCCGAGGCTTTACTTATATCATACAAATAATGAGGCAAATGTTTGGTGGCCCCGGAAAGATCAGCGGGCTAACAATGAGGATACTCTCAGGCACTTTTGCAGCAATTTCTCTGGGTATTATAAGTTCAGTTCCCGGATTTTATATGATTACTCCCATCTGGTAGAGCTAGCTCCTGCTTATATTGCATATTTGTTATTACTATTTTGAACGCTAAAATGCATTTTGTTTATACGTTTTGACCCTATGTTTATTTGACCAGCATCCTAGTAGTTCAACAATGTGTTCAAGTTACGTGGTGTCTTATACTTACATGCCTTGACCTCAAGGTTGTAGTGTTTGGGGAAAGGCTACCCTCCCATATCCATGTGTTGGTGATCCTTTTTTTGATTGGATACTTCTCTTCATTAACTATTTATGTCATATTTTTGTTTCAACTAAGTTGTCTCTTTTAGGTTAGATATTATTAAGAGAAATTAGTGAGTATATATTTACTAATATGCCAATTGAATATAATTGCACACATGTACACGTGTGTGTATATGCATGTAGATGTAGGTTCATGTGAGAACTTAATCTTAGGAGAGCAAAAAAGAATAGATGTGAGCCATTGGATTAACTTCTAATTAATCATGTGCCTAAATCTTCCTTGAGGGTATTGAGGTCAATATGTTTCTTTCCAATTCACGCTCATCTCTATCTTAGAACCATTTCCCTATTATTTAGGAAGTGATAATATTCTCTCTATTAATTTCCTTTCCAATTCACGTTGTTTCTTAATTTCCATTACTCTAATCTTCATTGTCGACTCATCTTTGTAGCGTCTCAAGCAGGATGACTTTTGGAACAAAATCATCTCCTCTCTATGGATGCTAGTAAGTCGATATAGTTTGCATAATTTTTTATGAAGTTTATCAAACTTATATAATTAACATCTATATCTCTATATTCATGGATTCTCCTGATTATTAAGTTTATTGTTCCTACTATTCATGTTCATCAATTTACAGTTTATCTTCTCCTACTAGATTAGATTCATAATCATTTGAATATGATCGCTTAGTTTTTGCAGATCTTCATTGAAGAAAAAGTTTTTGATGCACTTACCATGCTTTGGTCATACACTTTCGTTAGGTTTTAATTTTTTTTTCTTTTGTTGCAGATATGATGCAGTACCAACAGAGCAATTGTGATCCATTTGGAAGAAAACATGTATTTGATTTTGTAAAAAATGTTGATATAAAGTTATAGAAAATTTATTATCATAGTGCACTTTTGTATGTATTTCCAATACACATGATAAAAGTGCACTTTGTTTTGTAAGAATGTGTATGCAAAACTCTAGAAAGTGTGATATAATTTCGCACTTTTGTATAAAGGAAAGTGCACTTTTCTATTCATTTGAATTGCACTCTTGGTTAATACTCTTGTATATTTATTTTCGTTTTATTTAAGACCATTTGATCGAGTTTAGAAATGCAGTGTAGGATTTTCTTAAAACAAAGTGCATGTTAATAACAACGTGCAGTTTACTAAAGTGCAGATGAATATAATAAAAGTGTTATTTTTTTACATGTGTTTCATTGATGAATGGTGTTAACTACTTTGATAGAGTATATGGGCCTGGACCCCATGACCCACATACTCATAGTCAACAATGACCAGAGGAACGTCCACGTGGCCCCCTTCGGCCCAGTGGGACCCGCATCAGCCAGAAACCAAATTGGCCCAGAACACGCACCTGGACTTCCGGGCCGCATCGGCCCATGGACCGCATCGGCCATGGGACCGCATCGGTCAAAAGGCACCGCATCGGCCAGATCTCGTCCTGGCAGAATACATCTCTCTACTTTATTTACCAAGTATTGTACTCAGCCCATTAGTGGCCCTATTTCGCCCAAAGAAGGCATGAATATTGTAATGGGCCTCCTAAGCCCATGGCTAGGATCCCAAATCCACATTTTTAGCTATAAATAGACCCCTTGGGGCTAGTTATAGGTGGTTGAGAAATATTAATTGCTCACTTTATCTCTCTAGAATTAAATACTCTATCATACTCATATTAATATTTGTGGAAAACCCAAATATATGATTTAAGTTGATGTTGCATAAAATTTTAAATAAAAGTGCATTTATTTTATGTTGGAGTGCAAATACGATACATGTTGTTTTGATAAAGTACGTAAATAATGCAAAAAAATGTAAATATATACGGAGTATTCATGAAAAATAATTTAAAAACTATCAAATTAAAAGGAAGTACGTATTGTAAAACAACTCAAGAGAGAAATAGCAAAATATATCTATCCAAAAATAACATATTTGTAGTTAAAATAGCAATCAGAACATTTAAGCAATCACATATAATCACATCTCCACAAAGAAGGAAAACACCACTATCAGTCTATCACAATACCACATCCCAAAGTAACACATTCCAAAGTTTCACGTTCCACAAATCACATTTCAAACTATCACCTTCCAAAAGAATAATTTTCCAAAAGTAGATTTCCAAAAATATATCACACCAAAACATAACTTCCCAAAGATACAATTTTCCAAGAATATAAGTCTCCAAAAATTTTAACGATTTAATAATTTTTAAAGAATATAAGTCTTCCAAAATTCAACTATAAACAAAATAGTTTTTTAAGAGTGTTTAACCTTCCAAAAATTTAACTTTCCAGAAATGGTATTTCCCCCAAAAATATATAATTGTCAGGGTGATTACCGGCCCTCCATAAAAAATGTCGGGGTGATTACCGACCCACCATAAAAATTGTCGGGGTGATTACCGACCCTCCATAAAAATTGTCGGGGTGATTAGCGACCCTCCATAAAAATTGTCGGGGTGATTACCGACCCTCCATAAAAATTGTCGGGGTGATTACCGACCCACCATAAAAATTGTTGGGGTGATTACCGACCCTCCATAAAAATTGTCGGGGTGATTACCGACCCTCCACAAAAATTGTCGGGGTGATTACCGACCCTCCATAAAAATTGTCGGGGTGATTACCGACCCACCATAAAAATTGTCGGGGTGATTACCGACCCTCCATAAAAACTGTCGGGGTGATTACCGACCCTCCATAAAAATTGTCGGGGTGATTACCGATCCTCCATAAAAATTGTCGGGGTGATTACCGTTCCTCCATAAAAATTGTCGGGGTGATTACCGACCCTCCATAAAAATTGTCGGGGTGATTACCGACCCTCCATAAAAATTGTCGGGGTGATTACCGACCCTCCATAAAAATTGTCGGGGTGATTACTGACCCTCCATAAAAATTGTCGGAGTGATTACCGACCCTCCATAAAAATTGTCAGGGTGTGATTACCGACCCTCCATAAAATTGTCGGGGTGATTACCGACCCTCCATAAAAATTGTCGGGGTGATTACCGACCCTCCATAAAAATTGTCGGGGTGATTACCGATTAACTTTTTCGTAACCGGTGAATTTACTCCCGGGTGCCCCAAGTAGTCAGAAATCGTTTATTACAATTTGGCAAAAGATTTGATACAACATTTTCCAAAAGTAAATTTTACTACCACCACCAAACCAAACCAATTAGGGTTATCCAAACCCAGAATATATTTTCACAATAACCAATTAGAATAATATCAAATCATACTTCAACTCATACCAAAACAATAACCATAATTTTCCAATCTAAAGGAACAATTCCTCAAAAATCACAATTTTAGCCATAACAACTATTTTTGTTAAATTCACTAAAAATCACACGTTCAGAAATTCCCATAAAATCATACATCATCATATCCATACTATAATAACCAAAATATTAGCTCAAATCATAGCACAAATCCTAATAAATACATGATAGGGGCAAAATAATAGTTTTGATTGCAATAGTCCTTACCTCGAGTTGCGATTAATCTGAATCGAAGTTTCTACTTCAACCTTCCCCAAATTCCCAGAAGAAGTAGAGCGGATAATAGAGTAGAGAAGGACTACCGACACTCCCCTTTCTCCTCCTTTGGTCGAGGAGGTCAGCTCCTTCCAACGACGGCATTGTTCCTCTAGCGGCGTTGGGTCATGGCAGCGAGGATTGGCGACTCTCTGCGAAGATGACGACGATTCTGTAGTTCACTGCCCAGGATTTCTGAAAAGTGCAGACAAAGGCAATAATTTTATTGAGGCAATAAAGCAAACACTTCGTGAGCAAGAGTAAAGCACTATCTGGAGCAAACTAAGCTGAAGTATATTGCTCTGTTTTTAATGATCAGTAACTCCACTTACATAACAAGACTATTGCAGTATAAATAGGGATAAAAGAAAACAAACTACTAGAACACGTACTACTCCACGATTCTAAACAATAGGAAACTAAAACTAACCAACTAAACAATAAAATCGGATCATGGGTTATGCCCATAATTTTAGGAATAGTTTGGACTAATTCCAACATTCTCCCCCCTAATCCAAACTTGATCAGGTGAGACCTTTGACTCCAAGCAGCTCACGCATTTCTGCAAATTTAACTCTTGCTAATGCCTTGGTGAGTATATCAGCCCGCTGTTCTTCGGTGCGCACGTGTTTGACCACAATTTCACCTCTTTCAACACACTCACGTATGAAATGGAAACGAATATCAATATGCTTGCTCCTCCCATGAAAGACTGGATTTTTCATCAATGCAATTGCTGACTTATTATCAACATAAATGATAACCGGACCCAATTTGTGACTTACCAGCTCACTAAGCAAACCTCGCATCCATATTCCTTGACAAGCTGCTGCCGTGGCAGCCATGAACTCAGCTTCACAGGAGGAAAGTGCAACACTCCGTTGCTTTTGTGAGGCCCAAGTGACAAGGCTGCTATTGACGTAGAACGCCATCCCACCGGTGCTCTTCCTATCTTCAAGATCCCCTGCTAGATTACTGTCCGAATACCCGACAATGTCATCTTCTTTTCCAGCCTCCTTTGAGTACACAATCCCAAAACCAATTGTTCCTTTAATATACCTCAAAATATGCTTCACAGCTTGCTGGTGAAGTACAGTAGGTTTCTCCATATACCTACTCACTACACCTACGACATAAGTAAGGTCCGGGCGGGTGTGAGTCAAGTACCTTAGGCTGCCAACGATACTTTTGAACATTGTTGCATCAACAGGTTGTCCACCCTCATCCTTGCTTAGCTGGAGCTTCGGTTCCATTGGATATTTGGTAGGATTACAGTCTGCCATCCCTGCTTTTTCCAAGATTTTCTTGGCATATGCTGTCTGTTTTAACACAATCTGCTCCGTCACTTGCTCTACCTCAATCCCGAGATAGTATGATAAGAGACCCAAATTACTCATCTCAAACTCCTTGCTCATTTGATCTTTAAATTTATTGATTTCTGAAGTACTTGAGCCAGTGACTATTAAATCATCAACATACACCCCGACAATCAAAGACACTCCTGATCTATGCCGTGTGTAGACAGCCTGCTCATACGGACATCTCTTGAAGCCAAGGCCCTTTAGACACTTGTCTAAACGGGCATTCCATGCCCTTGGTGCTTGGCGTAGCCCGTACAATGCTTTAGACAGTTTATAAACTTTCTGCTCTTGATTTTCCTTCACAAAGCCTTCCAGTTGTTTGACATACACTTCCTCTTGAAGTTCACCATTTAAAAAAGCTGATTTGACATCAAGGTGATGGACTTCCCATCCTTTCTTGGCTGAGAGTGCAAGGATCAATCTCACAGTTTCAATCCGGGCTACTGGTGCAAAAACCTCCTCATAATCAACGCCTTGTTGTTGAATGTAACCCTTTGCAACAAGTCTTGCCTTGTGTTTGATGACATTACCCTTTGAGTCCTTCTTCAGTTTGTAAACCCATTTTACTCCAATGGATTTATGACCAGGAGGAAGGTCAGTCAAGCTCCATGTTTTATTTTTCTCAATTGCCTCCAACTCTTGCTTCATTGCTTCCTTCCAAGATGTTTCCTTTGCAGCTTCCTCAAAGGAAGTCGGTTCCTCCACACCAAGGAAGAACAATTCTGCATCTGCCTCAGTTTCTTGAGTCTCAGCATATATCTCTTGAAGCGATCTGAATCTTCTTGGTGCTTCATCACTGGATGCGCTACCTGGATCACCAAAGGAAGATGTCACTGCATTCGGGGGGGTTAATGCAGTTGTTGTTGTCTGCTCATGGGGCTGCATTTCTGGTTCGTGAAGCATGCCGGTGGATTCTCTTTGAGGTGTGAAAGGCTCCTCATCAGATTCTCCTCCATCAAGGTTTGATTGCTCAACTCCCTCAATGATAAGTGGTGCTGAGAAATCTGGTTTTTCAACACTAACTTGTTCCCATGGCCACTGTTTGTTTTCCTCGAAAACAACATCACGACAAACATACACTCTGCCTTCCTGTGGATCCAGCAGTCTGCAAGCCTTACTCCCAGGCTCCACGCCTAAATACACAACTGATTTGCTCCTATCATCCATCTTCTTCACATGTGAGCTTGGAATTTTCATATGTGCCACGCACCCAAACACTCTTAAGTGTCCTAGATGCGGTTTCTTTCGAGACCAGGCCTCATATGGAGTAATATCAGCCAATGCCTTTGTTGGTACACGGTTTAGGAGATAAACTGCATGACGGACAGCTTCCCCCCATAGGTATACTGGCAGGTTCATGCTTTTTAACAGACTTCGGGCCATTTCTATAACAGTGTGGTTTCTTCGTTCCACGACCCCGTTTTGCTGTGGGGTGTAAGGTGCTGTTGTGTGCCTCTGAATTCCAGCCTCTTCACAGTATCGTGTGAACTGGTTTGAGAGGAATTCACCCCCCCCCCCCCCCCCGATCAGTTCTAAACACTTTTATTTTGCATTCAGTTTCTCTTTCAACAAGAGCTCGAAACTTCTTAAAGGCATCAAAGGCTTCATCCTTACATTTCAGCATATACACCCACATTGCCCGACTATAATCATCAACCAAAAGGAGGAAATACCTGTTTCCCGCAGAGTTGGTGGAGTTATTGGGCCGCAGAGATCACCGTGGACTAACTGCAGAATTCTTTCAGCTCTGTGGCTGGTTTGAGTGGGAAAAGAACCACTGGTTTGTTTCCCCATCAAACACCCGCTGCATATCTGTGTTGGGTGCTCTATACTCGGCACACCACACACCATATTCTTCTTGGACATCAGCTTCAGGGAATCAAAGTTTATATGCCCGAGACGTGCATGCCAAAGCCAGGATGATTCTATAAGCTTTGACAGCAAACAAGCTGGCTGAGAACTCTCCAAAATGATTTTGTAGAGTCTGTTCGGTGACCGTTTCACTTTCATGAGCAACCTCCCTTGTTTATCATTCATCCATAAATATTCTCCGTGGAGTGTGACCTTGTTACCAACCTCTGAAAGTTGTCCGAGGCTTATAATGTTGCTACACAGATCAGGTATATAATATACCTCATCCAATAACCGCTGCTCACCATTTTTACACTGAAGAAGAATACTTCCTCTACCAGCGATCTGCACCATTGATCCATCGCCAAACTTGACTTGGCCTTTTATGCTCTCGTCTAAGTCCTTGAATTTTGATCTCTCGCCCGTCATGTGGTTACTTGCTCCGTTATCCAGGTACCACAAGTTAGACTCCTCCGTGGTTCCCTTGCCTGACCGCAATTTTGGGACCACCTTTTCGTGTAATAGTACCACATTGCATGCCTCCTGCTTGCACATGGATAGAAGGAGTGCAGGCTCATCATCTTGGATCTGAATTAGATTTGCTTCCCGGTTGTTCTCCCCGTCGAGGCTTTCGACATTCTGACACGTAGTGACCGTAGAAGTCACAATTAAAACATTTTATATTGCTTTTATCACGGCCACCACTTGAGTTCCGGTTGCTCTCTGCCTCCTGCTTAAAGGTATTGTTACAGCCCCGGCCTCCCCGGCCGCCTCCTCGACCTCTGCCGCGTCCGCTTCCACGGCCACGGTTATTTCCACCGTTGTTACCGCGAGCCTTAGGAGCTGAAGAAGACTCCCCATTGCTTCCCTTTTTTGACCTTGCCAGCCACTCCTCTTGAGTGAGCAAGAGCTGGTTGCCCTCGATCTCTTCATGTCCACGAATCCTCTCTTCGTAGCACCTGAGCCGACCAACAGCCTCTTCAACGGTCATGGTCTCCATGTCTCCAAATTGCTCAATTGTTGAAGCAATCTGTAGATATTTTGTTGGGACAGCCCTGAGCAGCTTCTTAACGACACACGCCTCCTCGAACTTTTCTCCCAAAGTCCGAATGTTGGTGGCGATTTTGTGTAGTTTGATAGCAAAATCATCAATGGACTCCGATTCCTTCATTCTGAGCATTTCAAACTCCGACTTTAAAGTCTGAATCCTTGCACTCTTTACGCGTTCCTCGCCCATGTATATCGTCTCGAGAGCATCCCATGCCTCCCTCGCGGTTTTCTTTTCTGCCAGTGACAACAACATCTCTTCTGGAATGCCCTGGTATATGGCTGCCATGGCCATCTTGTCCTTCCGATCCTCGATTTCTGCTTTTGGATCAGCCGGTTCAATAGCATCCCAAACTCCTTGGGCTTGCATGAACACTTTCATCTTGATAGCCCATGGAGTGTAGTTGTTTTTGGCAAGCATCGGGTACTGGAGACTGACTGCTCCTTCTTTGTTTTTAGAACCGTCCATGGTAAAATTCCGAGGCATGTATTTGGGCATTCACTTCACCAACGAGGCTCTGATACCAAGTGTAGTTCACTGCCCAGGATTTCTGAAAAGTGCAGACAAAGGCAATAATTTTATTGAGGCAATAAAGCAAACACTTTGTGAGCAAGAGTAAAGCACTATCTGGAGCAAACTAAGCTGAAGTATATTGCTCTGTTTTTAATGATCAGTAACTCCACTTACATAACAAGACTATTGCAGTATAAATAGGGATAAAAGAAAACAAACTACTAGAACACGTACTACTCCACGATTCTAAACAATAGGAAAGTAAAACTAACCACCTAAACAATAAAATCGGATCATGGGTTATGCCCATAATTTTAGGAATAGTTTGGACTAATTCCAACAGATTCAACTACCTTCTTCTCCGGCGACGACTGCAGCGGTTCTTACCTGCAACCTTCTTGGTACCCAAGCAGCCTGTTGGTAGCATAGCAACATGGAATCGCAAACGAGCAGTCTTCTTCTTCTCCTCCACCGCCTACACCCAGCAGCTGGGCGAGTTCACCAGCAGCCGTTCTGCTTCCTTCTCTAGCGGTGACGCCACCGCGTAGCTCATCACTAACGGTCTCACACGATTCTCTCCCTCTCACTTATTCTTAAGGATGCAGACCGCGACAGTTTCTTTGGTTCTCTGTGCGTCCATCGTGTATCTATCCAAGTAAACAGGTTACCGAGTGTATATATGTATGTGTCTCTATTAGCCGCAAGCTAAAGGTTTCAAAGATTAACTTTTTCGTAGCCCTAGGGTTTCGTAGGTATGTGTATATATATATATATATATATACATCACTCAACCTGGGTTTGGGTTTATTCCCATCCCAGCAGTCCATTTAGGACTTTAAATGCTACCAATTATTTATTGTTATAATTATTAGTATTAATTAGTAATATATATATTACTTAATACTGTTAATAGTATTATTCTTAGTTATAGGTGTCCGGCCAAATACGTTTAAGTGTGTTTGGTGGAAGCAGGTGAGTAACAAACTTAAAAAAAATGTCTCGAAAAATTATTGTCATTTATTCTTTATAATTATATCTATAATTATATCAAAGGTATATGTACTTCGTACACACAACCTTAACCCTCACTCCTCCATTCAAATTTGTTAATAAAATTTATTATTGTTTTAAATTTTAAATTTTCATTTAAACTTTCGGGGTATTACACTTTACCCCCTTAAAAGAATGCTTCGTCCCGAAGCATAACTCTAAAATTTTCTTAGGAGTATTCAGGGGCGGAGCTACTAGGGGGTCAGGGTGGTCAGCCGACCCCGCTAAAAATTTAAGAGTGTAGAGCTCTGAAATATCTTCGATTTGATATATTATGGCTCTCGTAACTTATTACGAGTAAAAAGTTATGACTTCTGCAAAATCAGCACTATTTAAGTTTGAAATTGGTAAGTAAGAAATTTTGATACTAAACCGAGTAAGATTGAAGAGAACCATAGAGTACTAGGGTAAGACAATGGGTCTCATCCGAAGTACTCAACTCAACCCGTATAAAACAAGTTTATAATATATGTGACATATACGAAGTATATTAACTACATATACTCTATTAGTTTCATTTAAACTATCATTTATCTAAGCTACATTCAATTCGGGTATTGTCTAAAAATAATCTACCATTTTGATTCTATGCAAATTTGATTTCGACCCCGCTGAGTCACTTTTCTGGCTCCGCCCCTGGGAGTATTCCTATTCAATTTTCTACTCAATCAACACATAGGCGGCAAATATGCACCTAGGCCCTCAAGAAAAATAAAACACTAATATACGTACCAATTTCTAGCAATCATCCAAGTTCACCTAATTCACAGAGTTCTCATATCATCAAACTTAAACCAACATATATCATACCAACTCAAGCATCCCACAATCTCACAACGATCCTAAACTTAAATAATTCAAAATCGTATTTTTTTATTCCTAATCAATTCCTTTAGTCCCATTTATTAAAAAAAAACATTAAGTCAATTGAAATAATTTTTTTTGAAAACCTTAAAAAGATTTTGAAAAACAAAGGCTCTGATACTAATTTGTAACACCCCGGCCCCGCAGGGTCCGAGTAGTTACTCCAGACCTCTAGTACTGTCCTCACAAACCACCACGAGCCTTTACCGTGCACTTTGTCCTCACTCGTGCGCGCCCCGAGAAACTTCCCAGGGGGTCACCCATCCCAAGACTACTCCCGTGCAAACACGCTTAACTTTGGAGTTCTTGGCTAATGAGCTCCCTTAAAAGGAGATGCACCTTGTTGGTATGAGTAGTATTACTAATCTTTTTATATTAAATCTCAAGTGTTACACTCATGTTATCCAATAAGCCTAATTGTTTAATAGCATTAGGACATATGAATCTAGAAGGAACTACTTGCCTTTTGATGATGGCCAAAAATCGCTTGCGGTGATCCCCCGGCCCAAAGCGGACGGTCTCATACCCCGGAATTGGTCCTCTAGCATTGGAGCTCTCCGGTTGGTTTCTCTTTGGAGCCATGGATGACTTGAATTCGGACTTGGGGTTGGGGGGTTAGGGTTTTTCGGATTTTTGGAGAGAGAGGGAGATATGGTGATTTTTGGGTATGAGGTTGGAGAGGATGGTAAGGGGAGTGTTTTGGTGGTGGTATGAGAGGATTTGGTTGAGTGTTGGGTGAGTTATGGGAGCTTGAAAGTTCGAAAATGGGAGATTTGGGGAGAGAGGTTCGAGCTTTTGGGATTTGGGGAAGATGAAGTGACCGAGAAAAGGTCTGATTGAGGTTAAAAGTTTGGGTACCCGATCGGGTAGCCCGTCAGCCCGATCGGGTATGCTTGTAGTTGGCCTTACTCCGGGGTCTGACCCGATCGAACATGCGTGCCACGCGATCGGGTAAAACTCGCCGAAGGAAATCTTTGATTTTGATTTAATTCATCCGATCGGGTGATGACAATACCCGACCGAGTATTTCGTCGATTTTCAAAACCTCGCTCCAGGGGTTTGCACCCGATCGAGTTTGGGGGTACTCGATCGCGTTTTTTGCTTCGAAGTAATTCATTTAAATACTTTGATTTATACCCGACCGGGCCTTAGATGTACCCGATCGAGTATGCTCTTGATTTTTTCTTATGCCTCGATCGGGCATGGGTTTTCCGCCCCCAACCTTGCCTTCTTCATTTGTACCCGATCGGGTAGAGTGATGGGGCCCGATCGGGTACACTACCCTGGGGTGTGTTTTTGTCCATTTTCATCTTCTTTTTGGCGTGGATCCGACCGGGTAAGTGATAATGACGATCAGAGGTTTTTCCAGACATTCGAAAACAAGAATTTGAAAAGAAAAATAAAAAATGCGTACCTTGGCTTGGGTTGCCTCCCAAGGAGCGCCTTAGTTAACGTCGCGGCACGACGCCATGGTTGCGTTCATCCTTCATAGATTGGATCGAAGAGATCCATGCATTCAATGCTTTCTCTTTGGAAGCCTTCAAGGAATAGTTTGAGTTGATGTCCGTTAACCTTGAAGATTTTATCGGTGTCAAGGCTTTTGATCTCAACCGCTCCATGTGAGTAGACTTTGACCACTTCAAATGGTCCTTCCCATCGTGATCTTAGCTTACCAGGGAAAAGATGAAGGCGTGATCGGAATAGAAGGACTTTATCTCCAACTTGGAAGTCCTTTCTTATTATCATTTTATCATGCCATACCTTCGTCTTCTCCTTGTATATGGCGGCATTCTCATATGACTCAAGTCGAAGCTCCTCTAGCTCTTGGAGTTGTAGTTTCCTTTGCATCCCCGCTTGCTCCATGTCAAGATTGAATGTTTTTACCGCCCAATAAGACTTATGTTCGAGTTCGACCGGGAGATGGCAAGCCTTCCCGAACACAAGTCTATAGGGAGACATTCCAATTAGTGTTTTGAAAGCGGTTCTATATGGATACGTAGTCCACCGCCAAGAGAATGTATAGATTTCCATGGGAATTAGGAAAAGGTCCCATGAAATCTATTCCCCAAACATCAAAGATTTCCACGTAGAGCTTAGGAACTTGCGGCATCTCATGTTTTCGAGAGATGTTGCCCATGCGTTGGCAATTGTCACAAGATTGACAAAAGACATGGGCATTTCGAAATAAGCTTGGCCACCAAAAACCGCACTCAAGTACCTTCATGGCCGTTCGCTTGCCTCCAAAGTGGCCACCACATGCATGTGAGTGACAAAAGGCAAGAATGGATGCTATCTCTGTCTCGGGAATGCACCTTCTAATGACTTGATCTTTGCAATGTTTCCACAAGTATGGTTCATCCCATACGTATTGTTTTGCATCGTGTTGGAGCTTCTCTCTTTGAGCTTTAGAGAAGCTTGGTGGAAACCTGTTTAGAACAAGGAAATTAACAATATGAGCGTACCAAGGGCGAATTTCCTTAAGAGAGAAAAGAGTCTCATCGGGAAATTCCCCCCGGATATCATCTTTAATATGATCGTTTCCTTCATCAAGGACTAAACGGCTCAAGTGATCGGCCACCAAGTTCTCCATGCCCTTCTTGTCCTTGATTTCAACATCAAACTCGCTCAAGAGTAGTATCCACCGAATTAACCTTGGTTTGGCCTCCTTCTTTGTCATCAAGAACCTAAGAGCCGCATGATCGGTGTAAATGATCACTTTGGTTCCAAGTAAGTATGACCTGAATTTTTCAAGTGCATAGACGACGGCCAACATTTCTTTCTCGGTGGTGGCGTAGTTGCGTTGAGCATCATTGAGAGTGGTGGATGCGTAGTAGGATCACATGAGATGCTCTTCCCACCTTTTGGCCCAAAACGGGCCCGACCGCATAGTCGCTAGCATCACACATAATCTCAAATGGAAGAGACCAATCGGGTGCTTGGATGATAGGTGCGGACACGAGTTTCTCCTTCAATGTATAGTATTGAAGGCCTTTTTGCATTCTTCGGAGAAGATGAATTCCACCTCCTTTTGCAAAAGTGTGCATAAAGGAGATGCAATCTTTGAGAAGTCATTGATGAATCTCCGATAGAAACCTGCATGCCCAAGGAATGATCGTATCTCCCTCACGGTGGTAGGATAAGGGAGTGATTGGATGACTTCAACTTTGGCCTTGTCCACCGCTATCCCTTTGGATGAGATAACATGGCCGAGAACAATTCCTTCTTCCACCATAAAGTGGCATTTTTCAGAATTCAAAACAAGGTTTGATTCTAAACAACTTTTGAGGACAAGAGAAAGATGGTATAGGCAAGAATCAAATGAGTCTCCATGGATTGTGAAATCATCCATGAAAACTTCCATAAAAAGCTCCACATATTTAGAGAATATGCTCATCATGCATCTTTGGAAGGTGGCCGGGGCGTTGCAAAGTCCAAATGGCATACGTCGGTAGGCAAAAGTGCCAAACGGACAAGTGAATGTTGTCTTCTCTTGATCTTCAGGGGCTATGGGTACTTGAAAATACCCGGAGTAGCCATCAAGGAAGCAATAGAACTTATGCCCCGCAAGTCTCTGAAGCATTTGGTCAATGAAGGGTAAAGGAATGAAATCCTTTCTAGTTACCGCGTTGAGTCGCCGGTAATCTATACATACCCTCCATCCGTTTTGAATCCGGGTAGGCATGAGTTCTCCATCTTTGTTCTCCACCACGGTGACTCCGGTCTTCTTGGGAACAACTTGGGTTGGACTAACCCACTTGCTATCGGAGATGGGAAAGATTATCCCCATTTGAAATAGCTTGATGACCTCCTTTTTGACC